ATTTTAATTTTAAACAAATAAATCATTATAACTGATAACAATCAGAATGTTTCAGTTTAATATTGGTTTTATCTTATATTGAGATTATATGATACCATTTTGGATTGTAAGATGGGTAGTTCAAATTCATTAGACAAAGTTTAGATACTAAACAATTTAAGAAAGATTAATATAAAGGCTCAAGAATCCTGAGTCAGAATAATATATATATTTAGAGTTTGAGACTTTATAAAGTTTATTTTAGTCAACTCGAGTACATCAATTATAAATAGATTTTCGTTTTTATTTTTCTTAATCCTAGTCAATATATATTAGGATTTTAGTTTTGAGGATTACTCCCCCAGAACAGAAAAGAAGTTCTTATGGTACTGTATATACCTATGATATATTTTCATGGAGTTGGTGTCTCAAAAAGTGTCCAAACAAATTTTATAAATACATAAATCCTAATAACATTTTTCTAATATACCCTAGACATTTAAGGGTCGGGACTTTAGAGTAATCGTTTTCCTTAGACTTATATTAGCGGCTAATAAAAGTTAATAGGCCAGTAACTAGCTAATATTATATAGTATATTGAAGATATTACACCCCCAGTGAAAATATTGAGTCGCTCCTAAAGAATTGCCCTTTATAAAAGAATGTCTAAATATCCCACTATTAAGAAAAATAACTTTTAATCATAAAAATAAATACCAATTTACTAGAAAATAGTCATTAATTATTTAAAACAGTGGCCTATATTCATGAAACTAAAAACGGAGCCTTATAATTGATCAAGCTTAACCAACTATTTTGAAAAAAATTCACCAAAAAAAAAGATCATTAATATATATTTTTTGACATTACTCCACTCTCATTTAAAAATCTTAGGTACGCCAGTAAATATAATTTTATAGTTCATATTTATAAAGCAGTACAATGGTAAGTACAATAGTTTTTTCATAAAAACAACTATAAGGTACGATCTATAAGAAACTTGTGAGTCCCAAATTAAAGATAACAATATCATTAGATTTTTATATTCTAATGGAAATGATGTACACAAAAATACAAAATTAATTATATGTTTAGCATACTGAATGTATAAGGTAGTAGTTTTTTTAGCGTATACTTATTTCTACAATAAAAATTTTTAATTAGATTCTTTCATAGCTAGGGACGGATTGGACCTCTTAGAGTTTTGACTAAGAAAACATACTGAACGATAACGGTTCACCTTTTTTTTTAAAATTCAGTTTATTTTCTGTCTAATTACTAAATAAGCGTATAAAAAGATATTAAAATTTGTTACATTTTTTTATGCTTATTTTGTCTTTTTGGATGGCAACAAAAGTTATAAATAAGCTTCCTCCTTTAAAATAATTAACTTTTTTGTCTTATTAGTGTAACCTGGAAAACACTAGGTATTTCAGGCAACTAATACGTTTTGTTTTTAATGTGCTTATGAAAAAAAAAAAATTATTTCAATTTTTTCACTTAACAAGTTAAAATAAGAAATCATTTATGCCTCGTTTTTTTTAATGTGAAATATCTATTGGAATTTAACATATATAATACGCTACAATTATTCAAGAACACGTGTGATGACTTATCCATTCTTTGTTATCTTTCACTGTTTCCACCCATGATGATTGTTTCTATAGTAACTATTTTGGTAAAGATTCAATTATTTTGAAAATTCTAACCTTGTATTTTTAATTTTATGGCTTTACTAATGTGACTAGAACTCTACTACTTACAGCTTAAAAATAAATTATGATAGCATATAAGGCTAATAATTAACCAGCTAGTGTAGCAATCACTACATAAAAGACGGTCAAATTATATCTCTCAAAATATTTTAAATATTACATTAAATAAATTTTCAAGTATATGCTTAGTGCACATTAGAGACTGATAGTAAATGTTTTGCATGTAATTTAATTCATCTTATTATGTTAATTTTTAACCAATTAACAAGATAAACTCTAACATTAAAATACATTAACTTTGAAAAAGAATATCATGGACTTATTTGGTTTTGAAACAAGCTTGAATAGAAAAAAATTTAATGTCTTCACAATTTTGACATCTAATACTTCAAAATTACTTTCAATATAAGATTTTATACTACTTGATTCATACTGCTACAAAATTTGTAGAATATTGATGAAATTATTCTTACATTACAGTTAAATATAACTATAACTATAACAATCCCATTAAAAAGACTTTATGAAAAGTATTTCGTGAAAACAAAATGCATCTTATCTATGTTTAAGTAAACAAAATTTATAAAAAAAAAAATCGGATATGAGAAATATATAATTGATAGTCTAAAAACATATGTTAACGTCTAAAAATTACTAACGAAAATAAAAATCATTTCATAAATTATAGAAAATGTGTTTCAGTATTATAAAACATTGAATACTTCTATATACTTAATCAAAAAAAGTTGACAGTTGTGTCAATGTAATATTTAAATACCTGTCTAATGATAAATTAATCTAAGAAAATGTCACCATGTAAATTTTTTTATTGCATAAGTTGCAATAATTTTTAATTTAAAATGATATTGTAACATTTAAATTTGTAGAATAAAATAGTATCAAATTTGAAATAAAGTAATTGAAAATTGTACACTTTTTAACTCCAAAAACAAGTGTAACTAGATATATTTATATATATTATTTTATGCAATTACTTGTGTACGATAAACTTTAAATATAGTAAATAATCTCAAAATCTTAACACATCAGAAATCTGATATTCTTGCATATAGATTTTTAAATATTAGTTAAAACTATCAATAATACATTTTTTTACCAAAGCATATTAACGCACGCTATCTAGTGTTAATTTTTTTTGTAATCAAATTCCTTTCGTCTGTTACTTAATTAAAAATAATTAAATTTATTAACACTTTAAATTTTATTGTAATTAATCAATATCACTATATGTATGAATATAAATGATAAAACAAATAAATTTAAATAATATATCCTACTATGTATAAGTATCTATAATCGTGACAGTACGAATAAAAAAAAAAGATGCTTTGTAAGACGAACGGTAAGTAAACTACTCAACAATATATGAAAATTTCAACTAATTAACTAGATTACTATTAACAAATAGTAATGATACAAAAAAAAAAAAATAAAAAAAAATAATTGCTTGAAATTTCAAACTCCATTATCTAAATACTAATTTTTTAGGTTACTACACTAACATTTTAATGGTGCGATACTTGAAAATATCAAAATATTAAATTTCTACGTGTTTTCAATATTTACATATTTTGTTAGTAAAGATCTAATTAAGATTATTTTTTAAAAGTTATTGATTTAAATTTAAAAAAAATAGGCGTATGTATATCTAATTTGAAGTTCAACATTTAAAAGAAAATACATATGTACAAAAACACATTTTTGCTTTAATATAAATTTGATTTATTTATTATTTTTTATAAATTATACTAACTAATGCCAACTTTATATTTATATTGAATTCTAATACATTTGAACAACTTATAGTGGTCAGTATGTTTAAAACAATGTTTAGAGAATAACTTACCATTTTTTGTGTAAAAAAAAAATAGATATTTGTCTAAATATGAATATAATTTAATAGAATTCTTAAGATACAAAATCAAATATAGTTATTTACAAATTTGAGTGGCAAAAAAAATTCTTGAGTTCACAAAGTAATATTTACAAAAAATATTAAAATAAAATCAAAATTTAATTTCATAATACACCTAATTATATTTTACCAAAAATATATAATTATAACAACTCCACAAATATATTTTATTTTTATAAGCCATTATTTATGTTTATTGTATAAATAAATATTATGAATATTTAAAAGTGTTTAATTGTCAAAAATCATAGAAAATATAATTGTGAATTTTAATTAAGCACTTTTTACACTGTAACAAGTACTTAAATGATATAGTTAGAACTATAAAAATTACAATAGGCATTATAATTATCATAATTTATCTATATAATCACACATCTGAAATAAGTGATTAATATTTATAAAAAAATAGTAACCAAGTACATGATACCATAAAATATGTCTATTTTATAAATGCAGATTAAAGAGATACTCCCTGTGAAATAACTTCTTTACCCATATCAGTACATAACGTTTTGTGGGCATACGGTGAGTGGGAACAGAGACAGTCATATCGACCGCATCTGTCATAAGGTCATTATTGACGTCATTGCAATAGCAAGTGTGTGTGTATGTGTATCTTTTAACTACTGCAGTTGCTATTATTGCCTCTTTACAGCAATATTCATATACAAGTGCACATATGGTCGAAGATGGCCGAAGACTTGTTGCAACTTAGAAAAGTACAATAAACTCAAAATAGTATTCATTTATGTGTATGTATGGAGGTAGGGAACAATCGAAAGTCGCCACTTTAAAGATACGTCATGGAATAAGTAATTGGATTTTGTCCATTTGCACTTTGAAATTTAATTAATTTCATAGCAATTAATTGTTTTATTTTTACGTTCTCAAGCTAATCATTAGAAACAATTATAAATTAAAATATTTACTACGATTATGGCAGATCATAACTGCAAGATATATTTATTTGTATAATGTTGCTTAAATCTTCCATTTATGTTGTTAATTATATTTGTTCTATATGACTATGTACACGGTACTAGGAACACAGAAATGATATTATATTTTCATTTATTCAAATAAATTGAAATATTCATCTTGCTACAAATACACTATTTAATGTTATAAGAATGATGTGGTTTATTTTTTGTCGAAAACAACTTTTATTTCAATATTATTTAAAGAAATCTAGATATTATGCATATCCAATTAAAATTGGAATAAATTAACTTTAACTAATAACAAAAAAAAATAATAATAAACTTAATACAACAACATATTATAAGCAAACATGACACAATAATTAAACAATAACACCTTCGACTATGCTTCTCTAATTATCATTATTATAACAATAGTTCAGTTACCTGTAAAGATATTTCGTCTCTGCGATACCAATGGTCAGGGCGCCAAAACTGATGCCAATGACGTCTTGACTCCATAGTCATAGACTGCCAAAAACACATAGTACCATTATGAAAAATCCTGTTATTAAATTATCTTTTCCACAAAAAATGCGATCTCAGCAAATATTAGAATTGTAAATTAGTGAAGTGAATTTTTACAACGTTTTTTGGAACGATTAAAATTTAACTTTTTAATTCCATTGAAAATCATTAGTTAACATAAATAACATCGACTCAAAAACGATTTATAAAAAAAGCCATTGTTTCTATCGTCATGTAACTAAAACTGCAAAAACGGGTATTAGCCACCTCTGTGATTGGTTCATTGGAGTTGTACACACGTTATTCCATTAAAATTGTGGTTATGGAGTGGACAAATTTCTAGTTCTCTTTAGAAGATCACCTGATATTAATATTATCAAGAAAACATTTTAATATGTTTAATAGTAGTAAACTCAACTACCAATTATAATTATTATAATAATTATTATTGTATAATTGTTTATAGGTTATCGTTTAAAATCATATTAAAATAAAGATTTTTAAATTTCACATTAGAAAAATACAGAAAAATGATTAAGAAACCAGAGATAATTAAAAACACGAAAACAGACAGTCGCGTTACAAAAACCTAACAACATTCTAGTGTGAATTCAGTCACTGGGTTATTCACATTTTATTGTTTTTCCAATATATTCCGAAAATGACAGTGATGTTAAGTTGCGCCACAGCTATTGCGATTCTCAGAAAAGTGAATATCCTTTGGTATAAGAAGGCAGACGCTAAAAAAGCCATAAATATTTATCAAATATACTACCACTTAAAACAATATGCGCGCCCAAACATTTCATATAATAAATCGAAAAGATAACGATTATGCGGTTAAAAACAATGATACAATAAAATAAATACAAATTTAATATAGTTTGCATTTGGTTGTGGGATTAAGTTCCTGTTCGTAGTCAATACAAATAATGTTTTTTGAGATGATAAAGGGTGAGGAGGAACCAACGAGTTAATAAAGCTCTCTGCCAGCTCTGCACTGAACTTATATGATGTAAAAATTAAGATTAAATCTATAAAACTTGAGCACGAGACGATGTTTTCGATTAAAGTAACGTGAAATATAGAACACCTTGAGAACTACTATTGCTGATATAACAATAGTAGTGCACGTGTTAATAAAATTGAATAAATTAAACTTAAAATAAAATAAAGGAAATTGTTCTAGTATTTTTCACTAAATAACGATACAAATAATATTTATCATTCAAATTAAATGACGAGGAAAACTTAAATAAAGACCCTTCAAAGAACAATTAAATAACAAATTAATAAAATATATGAAAAAAATAAAATTTTATTCCTGAATAACTGAGAATTTAGTATATTTATATAAATATTGTATTTTAACTTGGCGCTCCTAACGGAGTATTTTTTATATTCTATCAATAATATAACTGGAACTTGGAGGATATTGTGAAATTCTAAATAAAATGATAATAATACGGCATAAAATAATATTGTTATCAATCATATATTAGTAAAAAATTGTAAATAACAATCATGAAAAATAATGAAATAATATTATATTCCATATTATGTTCATTGTTATTATTATTGTCCATTTTAACTATGAATCGACTTAGTGAAAGAAAACGTATTATTAGCAAACATTTTAGCCTTCACTACCATTATTATTATTTATTTTATTTAAATATTATTAAACCAGATTACTTAAAAAATAAAGCCATAATCTAATTTAAAATAATAAGATTTACTTTACCATAGTTATTAATCAATAAATACAAAACACAAAACCTATTAATACCTCTTTAAACGCATCAGGCGTTATATTATAAAAAATTCTTCTTAATCAAATAATTAGTTCACCGAAACCACTATAAATATATTTATAACCAATTATCTGATGTTCAAACTAATTAGATATAAGCAAAATATTCACGTTTTTTTAAGTATATAGTTCATGACGTGATACTTAGAAATTATTCGTCATTATTTTTTTATTACAAGTAAAAAAAAAGTTATTAGTGTTCAATCATGGTTGTAAACTCACTAGTACATTTTATATTTGTAAATTCACAAATTTTAGTGTTATTTAATTCATTTAAACAGATTAACTTCATTTATTATGTATAACTATATTCTATTATTTTATTTTGCACAAAAAATTATCTTGCTCTTAGAGATACTGACAAAAAACTTAGAAAACCTAATTGTGAAATATTTTTTAGTACTCTTGAATTATTGGGTCATTATAATCCAAATTTGGCAAAGCATATTGAAGAAGTAAATGCTAAAAGTAATATTATTAGCTATTTTCCTCCACAAATTTAAAACTAAATAATTTTCGTTCTTGGAAAATCAACTAAAGAAAAAGATTAAACCCTGTTAAAGAATTAAAATATTATTCAATTATGAATCTACACCCTATGCATTTCATAAAGAACAAATTATCTTAAGGTATGTGTACACTTCTAACGGTACTGTTTCAATTGAAGAAGATTTTTATTAATTTTATCGAGCCATGAAAAAAATAGCGAAAGACTAGCTTTAGAAGTCATAGAAAAATTGAAAAAACATAATTTAAGGTTAAGTAATTGCAGAGAACTAAGTGTTGATAATGCTGCAACATGTCTGGAATGTATAAAGAAGTTAAGATACGAATTATGCAAGTGTATAATTTAACCAAATGTGTAACATGCGCCGCGCATAGCTTAGTTGGCATTGACGCCGTTAAGTTATGTATACACGGATGATAATATTCTTCGACACAGTTCAACAAATTTTTTAATTAAAAAAATATAAGTTTTAAGTTTATGACCAAATTCTTAATAAAATAAAGATCGATTTGAAAAATGTCTGAATTGCTCAAGATTTTAAATTTGTGTATGGTAATAGTTCGATAGGATAACTCATTGGACTATAAATAATTCATTTATTATTATAATTTGTAGTTTTATTGCATTTAAAAATTTCCCCCCAGGCGCAATAATTAGTTGCTACGACTCTGAAAGGTACTCAAGTTTGTATAAATTTCAAGTTAGAACGCCCACTATACAAGGGGAAATTGTCTGATTAAAGAGATATTTATAAAGTATTTAGAAACAGAAACTATATAACAATTTAAGATGAAAATATAAAATCGAAAATTTTAACACAAAAATAGCATATTTTTAACTATAACAGCCGTTTGCACGTAGACGATAAATCATCGAGACAATTTTTTTTTTTTTAATTTATTGTATGTAACATAAGCTTCAATTTAATATATGTTTAAAACGCAGTATTTTCAGAACATTTTCAAAAGTTAAGTTGAAAAAGTTAATTTTTTAGGAAAAGTTGCCATTTTAAAACCCCCCTGTGGGCAGGTAAAAGGTCAAAAGTACACAAAAATATATCAAATTATAGGTAAATCTATAGGAATTTATATATAAAAAAAAAGTTATATTGATTTGTTCATTTTTCAAAAAATTATGGCAGTATAAGAAAAAAAACCAAACCAGCACAGGGGGGTCGTGGCACAGTGGTGACGTGGAATAGTTGGATCAAGTATAATGATATCTGACAGTGATTTAAATCACTATAAAAAAAGAACGCTTCGATGCAAATCTTTAGATAGTGTTTAATTTTAAAAAATTGGTGGATTATTTCAAAAGCTACATGATCTGCTAGTTCCTTATTAATATCCTGATTAAGATAAAGTATGTCAAATGAAAAAGTGATTATTAAAAAATATTATTTCTCATAAAAAAATTATGTTGATCTATATACTTTTCAATAAGTTATAGTATTATAATGTTAAAAATGTAAAAAAATAAAATAGAGAATTTTCACACAATAATAGCATTCGGTAGCCATTTTCAACGTGAAGACAAAATAAAGTCCGAAATTTTTTTTTTTCATAATAAAGTATATTACATTAGCTTTAATTTAAGATATAATAAAAGTGTCAGACCTTCCGGAACATTTTCAAAAATCAAGTTGAAAAAATTAATTTTTTGTGAAAAAGTTGTCATTTTAAATCCCCCCCTGTGGGCAGAAAAAAGGTCAAATTTACAAAAAAAATATACCAAATGATAGGTAAAGACATCAAGCATCTATTAAAAAAAATTATATTGATTTGGTTATTTTTAAAAAAGTTATAGCAATTTTAAGTAAAAAAATTTCGAAAATTAGCGATTTTTAAATTTGTAATTTTTTTGGAGGTTTCCCCCATTTACGGGGAACGAGGGAATTTTTTTCAATTTTTGAGGGTAATGTCTTCGACTAGATACGATTTGTGATCTTTTGACGTATTGCTGAAAGAAATTGGTTCGGTGATTGTTAAGAAAAAGTGGCAACATATATAAAAAAAATGTACATTATAGTAAAATTAATACCTTTTCAGCTTCCCATTTAAGCTAAAATTTATAAATGCATATAATTTATAGCCATGAAAATATTACTATTATAAATAATTCAAACATGTTTAATATACTAATTAATCAAAGAGAAATAGAGAATATGTAATTTTTTATACTATATTATATTATATGATATTATGTTAGAAGTGTAATATTAAGAAGGAACAATTTTCTTTTAAAAAATTGTCAATCTTATTGATATTTTAACGATAATATATAATAATAAGAATAACGATTATTTGAGATTATGAAAATTAATTTAAAAAATATAAGAATAGGTTTAATTTGATAATTTAAGTATTTAAGTAAAATTATAGCTATAGGATACATTGAGAAAGGAATTTTTCGTTCAAGGACATAATAGTCTTCTTGTAAACTTTTTGACACTTCTATGTGACTAAAATTTTAAAGCACCGACTTCTCGATAGAACTATGTATAAAATGTATAAATATGTAAAAGTAATTTGAATATACATAAATCAATTATTATGTTCACATATTAATGTGTTATTGCAATTGTACGTGAGATGTGGTACTAATTATAAGTAAAAATCAGTTTATTGAAATTAATGTTATTTTTAAACAAAATTTAATGAATTAGAGAAAATTTGTATGTTA